TGGAGCTGACAAGAAATGAACAGCCAAATAGATGACATCTGGGTCCCAACACAACTCATACATAATATAACACCTCCTCAAATAATTCCTTCGAACGAAATAACAGACAGCGATCACCAGATAATGCAACTGCAATGGGCATACAACCCTCAAATAAAAAACAACAGACGAAAGCAAAGGAAAAAAGAAATCTTTAAATATGACCAAATGACACCAGACCTGTGGACAGATTTTTCAAGCTCGATCACAACCTACCTAAAAGAAAATACAACCACACAAAAAATAAAAAATGCTAGCATACTAAACAAACAATGGCATGAACTCAACCAAGCAATTATTATAGCAGCTAAAAAGAACATACCCAGAATCAAAATCCAACCTCAAACCTTCTATATCTTTTCTACCAAAGCCACTAAACTTCATACAGCCCTTAAGTGCATCAACAAACTAATAAAACAAATACAAGCAAACACACAAACTTCCAATGACACCTTAATACAAACATATAACGAGGATATAGACTATATCAACAACAAAACAGAAATACAAATCAACCATATCACACCAGAGGACCTGATACCCACCAACAAGAAGGCACTAATCATACAGCTAAAAGTTCAGCAAAAAACAATACATCAAGCCAGAAAACTAGAAAATAATCTTGCTCACCAAAGTACAATCAACAAATACATCAGCAAAAGATACAATGACTTTAATAACAACACTACTCACATGATTAATAGCATACTAAAAAGACATACTGATCCGGTCCTACTTCACAATATATGCAAAGCAGATGAAGTCATTACAGAACCAGAACAAATACGACAAGAAGTACAAATGCACTATGAAAACTGGACAAAGCCAAATCCTCCAAACTGGAACCACTGAAAGGAGTAGGAAGAAGAATACAAACCTATAAACAACATCCAAGACTGCTGGTACAAGAATATTTCTGATCCAATTACTCCGAAAGAGCTAGAGGAGACCATTAAGAAATCACCAACCAGTAAAGCAACAGGACCACATGGCATATCAAACGAGATGCTAAAACACTTGGGTAGTACAGGCCTAACACAATTTTGCACAATATTAAATGCATGCCTAACACTAAATACAATCCCAAAGACATGAAAGCATAACGACATTTATCCTATTTCCAAAAAACCCAAATTTACAGAACAACTAAATAATACATGACCTATAACCCTTATAGATCATACTCGAAAAATTTTAACAAAAATAATCACTAACAGGCTCAACAATATCCTTGCTAGATACCCTATATTCAACAATAGCAACCATGTAGCTCTACCAAACACCTTTACAGCTATACCAATATCTACTCTAACACATATTATAGAAAGTGCAAACACCTCTAAACAAGAACTATGGCTATTATCACAGAACATGTCAAAAGCCTACACTCCGTTCATATCCCACTACTATGCAAAGCCCTACAGAGAATAAAAATACCTAAGAACATAATTGATCTGATAAGCAATATCTTTACAGACCGGGTAAACTCAGTAATCACAAATCATGACAACACATCAAAATATCCAGTCCATGATAGAATAGACCAAAGAGAGATGATCACCTCCCTGCTATGGCACATATACTATGACCCCTTGCTAACCAAGATTACTAAGAGACACAAAGGATACAAAATAAAAACAACTATATCTACTCTGAACAACAATGACACTACCTACAAAATCAACCATCCAGTACTAGCATACATGGATGATACTATTTGGATTGCAACATCAAAAGAAGAACTATCTGAAATCATAACTACTGCAACCACATTCTACAACCTAACCAA